TTCCTGGGTCATAGGTCAATGCTTAACCCACTGCGCTACACTGGCCAGGCATGTGTGATATCTTATAGTGGTTTTGATTTGCATTTCCCTGATGATTAGTGATGCTGACTATCTTTTCATATGCTTATTGGCCAACTGTATGTCTTCTTTAGAGAAAGGTCTATTCAGGTCCTTTGCTCATTGTAAAATCAGATTTTGTTGTTGTTGTTCAGTCCACTGTAATTTGTTTGCCTTATAAGTCTGTGTGTGTGTGTGTGTGTGTGTGTGTGTGTGTGTGTGTGTGTGTGTTTAACTGTTGAGGATTTTTATCTTTATCACCAAAATCAAATAGTTCTGGGTAGAATTTCCCATGTACCTTGTAGGTCCTTTCAGTTTGTAAATTCAAGTCTTTTGGTCTTTTTTATTTCTGGAAGTCTTCCAGGATTATAGTTTTGTGTTTTTTATTAATTTTTTTTTTTTTTTCATTTTTTTTATTTCAGAGAGAGAAAGGGAGACGGAGAGAGAGATAGAAACATCAGTGACGAGAGAGAATTATCGATTGGCTGCTTCCTGCATGCCCCGTCCTGGGGAATCCAATCCAAAACCTGGGCATGTGCCCCAACTGGGAATTGAACCCTGCCTGACCTTCAGGTCCGTGGGTTGACACTCAACCACTGAACCACACCGGCCAGGCTCCAGGATTATAGTTTTAAATGTTAGTTTGTTTCACTGTTTTGTTTTTCTTTTCCAGGGACTTTGATAATATTAATATTATTCCTTCTTGGCCTATCTTTTATTTCCACTACTTTATCTCTGATCCTTCTTTCTTCTTTCTTTATGTAATTTTCATTCTCTTGGTTGTTTTTCTGCTTTGTCCCTCACTAAATATGTATTTTAGTCTATTATCTCTTGGTATCTTGTAATTTATTCTTTATTTTTGAGGTAATTTTATCTTTTTCCTTCATTTCTTTTCTAAGTTTAGCCAGATATTTTTTCCATTTTTCCTTTATTTATTTTTGGATATTTTCTGTTCTTAATTTTTTAAAAAATAAATTTACCTTAAAAATTTATTTTTAAATTAAAAAAAAAAACTTTATTGTTGAGAGTATTACAGATGTTCCCCCTTCCTTCCTCCATTGCCCCCTTTCACCCATTTCCTGCCCTGCCCCAGGCCTTCACCACCCTATTGTCTGTGTCTATGGACAGTGCATATGTTCATATAAATTCTTTGGTTAATCTCTTCCCACCCCCCACCCCC